AGTATATCCTGTGAGTATCAAATTCTCCAAGCCCTCTTACCTAATTATGTAGATACCCCCACAGATTTGCTAAAAAAACACCATGATGAAAAAATGCCTTAAACTTGATAAAAACAAATTTCTAACGTCAAAAGCTTTATGATATTACTAAGTGGTGAGACCAAAGTATTTTTTCATTATTAAATTATATTTTTCCATCCCTTTTAGAATGTTCGATAATTTAGGTTAAAAAAACGTTGTTTTCTGGCGTCAAGATCAGTAGAGGAAATGTTAGCGTCTTTTTTTTTTTTTGCGGTGAAATAACATTGAATTGGAAATTCTTGCAAAAATCGAATTATTCGCGGATTTTATGGAAACTTTCAGGACTTATTCAAAACTTATTGAAATTATTTTAGAAATCTCTCTTTTTTAGAAAATCTTGGTAAATCTTTTTTTTTTTTTTTTTTTTACATCTGTTGCCTCCCATCCCGACTTATTTAATTTTATGAAATTTTGAAAAATTGTTTTATTAGTTTAGTTATGCATAGATCTTCATGGAGAATTTAAATCATTTTTTTTTGTATAAAACAGCCCCCCCGCCAAAAAAAAAAAAAAAAAACACAGTTATCGAAAATCTGCCCGGAATTGTAAAATAAAAAATGCAATAAAACTAAGATTTATTTTAATAGAAAAATTGCCTTTATGAATAATATATATTACTAACACTTTTGTCCTAAAAAATGTTGTTTTTTTTTTCTCAATGAATAATGAATTTTCACAATAATTGCTTTCACTTTTTAAAATTTGAATTAAAATAATTTATCAAGTTTTAAATTCTTTAAATTTCTGTAATAATTTATATCAGGTGATATTGTTATTAAGTAAAAACTATATTTAATAATCATAAATGGGAAAGCTTATTACAATTCAGCGACCCCTAATATTTTGAAGTTTTTTATCTGTGTATAAACGTGCTGAATTTTTTTTTTTTTTAATACAGGCGTACACATATGATATTATCTGAAAATAAGAGCGATAAATATAGTAAAATTAAAGTCAATGTCTATAAAATCAATAAAACATCAGTTTACGGAGAATATTTTCCTTAAAAAAGGCGCCCACGTTATATTCCTCAAGTAATTTTTACAGATATATCCCCCGTAGAAAAAAATTCGATAATTTTCCGGCTGTCAGTCTAGCTGTTAATACCTTGAATAAACACCTGCTTCCATGTTATAAAATGTATTTCTGCTATATTTTAAACTAAAAGTAAGTAATATTTGTTTCAAATGAGATTATTTGAACTTTAAATCAGTTAATATTCCTCAAATAAAGTTTCAGAAAGGTATATTTTATTTTTGATAGATTTTTTTTAATATAACAGATGCTAATAGATGGCTAAAAATGGCGCTAAAATCAGCAATTTAAAAAATTCCTTCCAGTCAATTTAAATTAGTTTTGAAATACAGCAATGTATTTTATTTATCGGAAATATTAAATTTAATCTATTAGCTTGAAATTAATAGTAACAAAAGAAAGTTGAAGAAAAATTTCTGATTTTGAAAAATTCATTTTAAACCTTAGGCATCGCTTTTTTTTTTTAGGTACCTATTTAAAATCCATCCTGCGAGTATCAAATTTTCCAAGTCCTCTTCCTACATTATTCGTCCCAAAAATTTCAACTTAAGGACCACTGAATGACAATATAAAAATTAATTAATTTAAATATCCTCGACCCCACACTTCGTTGTTAATAATCAGCTGGGTATATAGAGGGAGGCTGAAATTAATTTAAAAAAAAATGTTCATTGACTACTGCAATATATTTGCTGAATTCAATTTATTCTAACTGAAATCTATTTCTTTGTTTCCATAAAAGAAATTCAGACAACTTGAAATAAGTTGTCGATTTCCCGGTTAAATGTTTGGGCAATTTTAAGGGTTGAAATGAAATATAAATAGGCTCAATCAACCATTGGCGTGTTCAAAGGTCATGCAGTTCAATTTTCAATTGGGAAGGGCTTAAAGATCAATCGCAGATGCTTGCAACATTCTCTTTCATGTATATCGTTATCTCATGTATTTTTTATTTTCCTCCCTTTACAGATTGTGCAGAATGTCACGATCCTTAGCCAAGAAACGATGTCATTTAAATGAAGATATTAGAGAGTTTAAAGAAGACTGGAAAATGTGGTTTGATTAATAAAGAAAATAAAGCCTTATGTATTTTCTGTTCCGAAACAATCGTTTGTAGGACTTCTTCTGGTAAGGGACAGTTTGAAAATGTTCATAAGAAATTAAGCAATAAAAGTGAAGAGGAAAAAAGAAAATGAATTTCTCGTGACTTGATCAAAAAAAAAAATGGCTTTTATGAACTTTATTCCAAGGTAGGCCCATTTGTTGGCATGTGGAAAAATGTTTGTTGCAGAGCTTTGGCCAGTTTTGGCACGTACTCTCAAAATGGTTAACGACCCTTGGTTCAGCCGACAACAACACGGATTCAGACACTTCGCAGCCTTAT